CTAACCACTTCTGAGTCCTTATATCAGTTCCGCTATCAAAAGCAGCCTTCGGAAGCCCTCTAGGTCTCGATTGTTCGTCCTGTAGTAAATCGAGTCTATAGTCGAGTTGGTCGTCGTTATCCCTAGGGAGGGAGGCAGAGACGTAGGTAGAGAGGGAAACAGTATCCATATTAGGCATTTTGAGAGCTTTGAGTATGTCTCGGTAGATTAACAAAGTTGACGATAGAGAAGAAAAGAGAGAAGGAAAATACGGGGGGTATAAGGAAAACCCGGAGTTTGCTAAGGCGCTTATCTCGAGAGTATATCGGATCTCGCGGGAAGGTAATTAGTAATCTATACAGGGATTCTATATATATCCTAAGGCCGCTAGTAGGATATACGACTTATACGCCGACCACGTCTGCCGAACACGTTCTTCTATAGCTGTAGGACCTATTGTTTTCTCTAGGGCGTATATATAATTTAGTACGCGTTTTTACTATATAGGTCCTAGATATCTATACTTGATATATATATCGTTTTAATATAGATATCTATATACTATATATATATATATATAACCCCTGCTAGCAGTTATCCTAGTAGTAGCGAACGAACGGATAACAACTCATATTCGAAATTAATAACGCCTAGGGGGGGCGACTTACGTATAGTTCTTATACTTATTATCTAGAATAACGTCGGCGGTACAGTAGTGCGGTAGAGTGTTATTAGTCCGGAAAGATAGGTAGTATCGTTGCCCGGTGTAACTAATGCCGGGATTCGGCAGCTGCCTAAACCTTAAATTGCCCTAGTAGGGTAAATTTACTTTCTCTCTCTCACTTCACTACCTTACTACAACACCTCTACAACACCCGTACCTCCGTACCTTTACTAGCGCCGTCGATACCTACCTTCGTAATCAGACCGAGTTCTTCTTCAACTACTATACTAACATTAGAAACCTTACTATGCCGAAACGCAAGAGCAATGCCCCAGAGGCACTAGCAAACAAGCGCGCAAAGCTCGGCGCAGCCTCGAAGTCACTCGAGGAGTACTCCCTTAAGCCAAACACTTTACGAGACCGAGAGCGTACTACCGCTATAGACGAAGAAAAGAGGGTATAGGATCGATACCGCAAAGCGCGCAACGAATCCTTCGCGCGATTCAAAAAGGCACAAATCAAGGAGTATACGAGTTTCGAAAGCCTCGCCAAAGATAAGCAACAGGAACTTATCGAGGGCTGGAGAAAGATACATACAAAGGAGTATAATCAAAAAGCGTAAGTGCAAATGTAGTCGGCGGATATAGTCGGCAGATTTGAGTACTAACTTCTGATTTAGTATAAAGAAGCAGACTGGAAAGAGTGCAATACTTCCTCCCGATAAGCAGGCAAAGATTAATGAAGCCGACTAGTTTCTCGAACTCGGCGATATCGACTCTAAGGAACGATTGATATTCTAGAAAGAAGACCAGATTGAGTAGGAATAGGAGTATCTATCTGTTGGCGAGGAGTGCGACAAAGGGGTTAGCGGCCTTAGCAACTATTACCTTCCCTCGGAATCAGTTCTCAATCTATTCTCGACTCTATAGATAGAGGAAGCGAGGGCTAAGTCCATTGGTACCTTTGCTATCCAGGTATCCTCTTCCACTTTTTCGACGGCCTACAATCAATGGCGCTCTTCTATTCACCACTTCTAGGACAAGATTGTTATCCTTAAGAACCTAGATATACCAAATAAGAAAGGCATAAAAGAGGTCTTGAAAATCGTTAGCAGCGAGACAATAAAGGTAAATATCTGCCGACTATATTTGCCGACTATAGAAACTAATCACAATTCCAGATTTGCATTAAAGAAGTCCGAATGCTATTACTACATAAGATCTTCTCGCCTATTAAGCGAGCCGTTTGCCGGAATGTCCTATTGTAGGATACCAAAGCTCAAGCCTACTATAGAGGGCGATTGCCAGGCCCTTCTTGGCTCATTCCCGCTACCTACGACTATGCAGCTAACGGCTTTTTGCCTTCAAAGACAATAAAGGAGAACAAGCATCTCGCAAAGATAGCGTACAAGATATACGAGAAAGAGAACTCTCTTACGAAGGAACAGACAATATGGCCAGCAGTAATAGAAAGCCTTATCTATTGTAGCGTAAAAGAGTATACTAGTATTACTCTCGAAGCTATCCTGCTCCTCCTCCTCCAAGAAGACGAACTCTGCCTCTCGATTTCTGGTCTCGAGGAACTGGTTAAGAAGGACAAGAGACTAGCTACCCTTGTTAAAGTTTAAGACTAAGAAGCGGAAGCGATAGGTAAATAGCAAGCGACGCCTAAACTAGGGTTTCGATAGGTTGGCTCGGATGTAGCAGAATGTCGGCATATCCTATTAGCTATACCCTTATTATAGCGTAACACTATAATTAAGTACAGGAAATTCTCTTTCTTTTTCCCCTTTCTACTCCTACTTCTTCAAGATACCTCTGGACTTTTACGCTATTGTCGTCTATCTACTATGTTTTCGTCCTCCTTCTCGTCCTCCCTAGGAGTAGGAAGCTCCCGGCTCGAATCCTCCTCCTAGCCCGATACCTCTTCCGGGACCCCTACGCGATCGAGCGCACGGCTACGCCAGCGCTATAGGACGACACTCAACGCGCTATCGAGTCCAACACTAGGTCGACGCCGACGACAACCTGACGTTAGGCGGCGTAGAACGAGACGGCCGAGTCTAGTAGAAGAGGAACTAGATAGTTCCCTTATTCTCCCTATCGAGCCTGATTATATAGGAGAGTAGGATATCAAGTCAAATTGCTAGCTATAGAGGCTTAGGTATAAGGACAACTTTGAGCGTTAGTAC